TAGCAAGAAGCTAGGCAGGACTGGATACTGCTATCCTGTGCAGAATGTCTTCTCAGAGAAATTCCCCACACACACATTATGGCCTTCAACTGATTGGACAAAGCCTATCATTTCAACTCCACCACTACCACATCACTATCATTATCTCCTCTACCGTCACTTTCACCTCTGCCCCCTCATCACCTCCACCATCACCTCTACACCATCACCTTCATAACCTTCTCCATCATCACCTCTACCATCACATCACCATCACAATCCACTTCACCTCCACCACCATCATCAGCTCCACTACATCACCCCCACCATCACCATCACCTATACCGTCAGCCTCACCATCACCTCTACCACCATCACCTTCATAACCTTCTCCATCATCACCTCTACCATCACATCACCATCACAATCCACTTCACCTCCACCACCATCATCACCTCCACTACATCACCCCCACCATCACCATCACCTATACCATCAGCCTCACCATCACCTCTACCACCATTGCTATCATGACCTTCGCCATCATCACCTCCACCATCACATCACCATCATCTCCACCACCGTCATTACCTCCTCTGCCATAATTGTGTTAATCAGCTTTTTGTCAATGTGATCAAAATACTTGAAAAAAAAAAAACAGCTTAGGAGGGGAAGGGTTCGTTTTGCCTCATGGTTTTGGAGGTTCAGCCTGTGGTCAGCTGGCTCCAAGGCACAAACACCATGGCAGGAGGGCATGGTGGGGGGCAGCTGCTCAACTCATGGCAGGTGGAAAGGAGAGGGAGAGAGAGGGAGAGGAGCCAGGAAGGGGCCAATGGCCAGTGACTCACTCTCCAGTGGTGCCCCACCTGCCGGTGACTTCCACCACCTCCCAGCAGGTCCATTGGAGTCACTGAGCCATCAAATGGATTAACCCACAGATGAGATCAGAGCCCTGCATCCAGTCATTGCCTGCAAGCCCACCTCTGAACCAAGCTGACAAGGACCGTGTTCCCACACGGGAGCGCTGAGGGGAACGGTCCAGATCCAACCACAGCAGTCACCATCACTGCCACCACCGTCACCATCACCAAGTCCTGGCCAGGGGCAGACGGCCTGATCGCTCACACTGCCCTCCTGGAAACACCTTCCCAGGACTCGAAGGTTGTTCAGCCGTTCTGACCCCTCCCTGTGGATATTGTTCAAGATCCCTTCAAGTCAGTCCTGGCTCTCCTTATACGATTTACAAATATGACACCAGAGCCTCCTTCACTGCACAAACTACAGCGGACGTGAAATGAAGCATTCTAGATAGCAGTTTCAGCATCTATAAAAGAGGAGTAGTACCTGCAGCCCACCACATGAGGTCATGCGAGAACTGGAGGAACTCCCGCAGGTGGAACAGGAAGCCTGGAGCCTAGCCACGGGTAATGATCATCACTTTGCCACGTAGAGAAAGTAACACAGCTGACATCTATGAGCCCACTGTCAGTATAAACATGCACCAATCTCTTGGCATTTCTGCTCCTAGTATTGATAGGAATTAAACATTATGGGTCCTGAAATACAGAAGCCAGCCTTTCCCCTCTTCTTCCCTCCCCTCTTCCCTACAGCTAACCCACATCCCAGGACCAGTGAGCAGGCCTCCTGCCAATTGGAGCTGACTACACGTACTGGTTGGTTCTCTGCTTGGATTAATGGCGCTGCAATGTATACGTTCTATTTATAGCTTTTTTCTTCCAATATTATTCTTCTGAGATCTATCTGTGTTAACTATGTGGCTCTCTTTCTTTTAATTTGTTTGCAGCATTCACAGATTTGACCTCCAGGGACTTCCTACCCAGCTCAGGGGCCATCAAGTCTCTGCCCCTTTCTGCCCTCACAGTTCCACGGTGAGCATCAGGAGATGGCATTTAGAAGAGGCAGGGCTGACAGAGAAACCCTAGACAACAAGAGGGAGTGAGAGAGAAAGAGAACACTCTGAACACGCACATGAGTTTCTCTTTTCTTTCTTTCTTTCTTTCTTTCTACTTATTCTGCTTCTCTGTGTTTCTTATTTTAACCTTATTTTTAGCCAAATGCAACACACTGAAAAAATTCCCCAAAGTCAAATTTTCAATACTTCTGTGGTTTGCAAAATAATGTCAAATGGCATTGAATAAGATTAGGAAGGAAGGAAGGTGGGGAAGGAGAGTGAAGAAAGAAGGCTCCGTCATGAAATAAATTTAGAAAGAGATGAAAACATTAGAAAAAATATTAAGAAATGTTTTTAAGGCAGGACTTTTAAAAAAAAAATAACCTGTTTATTGGCTTTAAGGCCAAACATGTTGTCCTATGGGGAGAAATCCATTGCTTTTTCAAAAAATATTAATCATATTGCTGTCTTATGAACAGAGCAACTAAACTTCAAAACCTGATAATTCAAGATTTAAATTGAATCACAAGGCACTTCCTGAACATTTACAACTAAAATGATTTTATCATCTTTTTTCCCTCAGTATATTTCTTTTAAATTTTTAATTTTTTTATTTGTTTTAATGAGTTACACTTGACAGTAGAATGCATTTATGCACTTTGATACATCATACAAAGATGCAATATAGTTTCTCATTTTTTCTGAGTGTACTTGTTGCAGAATCACATTGGTCACGTAGTCACATATAGACACACAGTAACGATGTCTGTTTCCTTCTACTATCTCCCTCTCCCCCATCCCCTCCCCTTACCTCCCATCACTGTCCTCTACCTAATCTAAGGTAACGCTATTCTTCCCTAGTAACCCCACCCCGCATATTAGAGAAAACATTTGGCTTTTGGTTTTATGGGATTGGCTTATTTCGCTTAGCATGATATTCTCCAACTCCAAGCATTTACTGGCAAATGCCATAATTTCACTCTTCTTTAAAGCTGAGTAATATTCCATTGTATATATATATATATATATATATATATATATATATATATCACATTTTCTTTATCCATTTATCTATTGAGGGACACCTAGGTTGGTGCCATAGTCTAGCTATTGTGAATTGAGCTGCTATAAACATTGATGTGGCAGGATAGGTTCAGGAAGTTCGAGAATTTCCATACAGAAAGGGTAAAAACAGGATTCTCACAGCCGTCCTCAGCACCTAGATTTCTAAAACTCTGCAGGGAAGACACAGGGCCTCCCCAGAACCCCGTGACTCCTCTGGGCCCAGTCTTGCTCCTGCATCCTGGATGGAGATCTTCCCTCATCCTTGTGCCTGGCTGGCCCCTGTCAACCTCCCCTGGGCATGTGCATGGTGGGCTTTGGGGGATGCATAGCTTTCTCAGCTTCTTTTATGCCCCTCTCCTTGGGTGGTCAGGAGACCAAGGCTGCTGCAGGCTCTGGACAGTAATGGGCTTTCCTACCGGAGGGTCCTGGATTCTTTGGCTGGAAACTCCTTCAAACTCAGGAGTCTCCCACAGCATTTGCCTCCAGGTAGAGCCAGGCTCCACAGAGGACTCAGGGCTGCTCCCAGATCTAGTCCCCATGGCCCAGGCCTCACTCTCCACTCCTAGATGCTTCCCTCGGGGCTGCAGAGCTTGGACGGAAAGGCCACACCAGGATTTGCCCCTTGCTTTCTGAACCTGGATCAAATTAGGGATTCTCTAAAATCTCATCTCGGAGAAGCATGGACTCAAAGCAGTCAGATTTTCTGACAATGAGAAGCTGAAATTTGACTCTTTATTCCCTTTTATTTTCTTTTACAAATTAGCCAGTCTTCCCAGGGGTCCCCTGTTTCTTGTGGAACACAACCACCTGCACCCCACCCTGGCCCCCAGTCACGTGTTCCTGCTCAAATGCAAGGAGCCACACCCGCTGTGCCAGGTCCTCCCAAAGCTCTTTATCAGTTACACCTGGTCCAGCGAATGTGGGACCCACCTACCCACAGCCTGGCATGACTCAGTGTGACTAGGTGTTGGCTGTTGCTCTTCTCTCAGCCTCTACAACCACCGCAAGCTCCCTGGGGATCAGCACCAGATGTTCTTCATTTCCATCCTCCTCACAGCTGGCAACGTCTCTGAACTATACTGAATGCTGACAGAATGGAGGGTTCTTTTGTAATAGAAAGGATGAGAGGATCCCTCATCTGCTTTAAAAAGAAGAATTCTGCAGTCCTCAGGAGTGCGTTCCACTCAAGAACTCTGATCTCGACAAAGCCTTATTATAACCCACCTGGCATCCCCCCAAGGACAGCATCGTTGTTGGCCAATCCCAGATAAACACTTCCCAGTTTCCTCACCCACCACAGAGCCACGGAGCATCTGTCTGTCTTTACTTCTCCTGGTCTTTCTGCCACTCTTTGACAATTCCAAAATTCATTCCCACTATCTTACAAATGACACCACACGATAAGGCCCCAAGAGGTCAGGAGTGGTGACAACCAGACCTGGGCTCCTTCTAGCCCTGTCACTTAGAGGGCACTCTAGGAAACTGAGTCCCTGCCTCAAGCTTCAGGTCTCCCCCTGTGTAAGGAGAGACATCCTATTAGCAGGATCCTAGTGGACTAAATGACCAACGGAAAGTAACTGGAATAGAGATAACACTACTAAGAAAGTCCAGTTGATGTCTATATATGGCAAAAACTGCCACCAATTTGCCTCTTAAAGCAGAGGTGAGTCATGGCCAGGAAGAGCTCGTGGTTCTCAGACACTGTTGGAGCACACCCTCCTGACAAGACACCCCCCATCCTCTCTCTCTCCTCCACTATTCCAAGTTAGGACTCATGTCCTCACCACTTACATCTGAACTCCAAAGTCACCACCTGTTTGGTTGTCCGAAGGATTCCAATTTAACATCCAGCTCTAGAAGTTAGACCAGATCAAAGACAAAGAGAGGAGAAACGAACCCCAAGTCCCAGGGTTGGGCTGAAGGTCCCGGCCAACCAAGATGCCCGTGTGCCAAGCTCAAACGAGAGTCCTGACATTTGAAGAGCAGCGATCACTTCCAATTCATAAAGGTTATTTAATTAAATGAATATAAATTAGAGCACCACTACACTGTATTACATGTTAAAAAAAAACTGTTGGCAGATAAACAATTATTTTTAGATTGACAAATTTGATCCCTAATATAACACAGAAAAATTTTTTATTCTTAAATATTGAAAAGTATTTTCTCCAGTGGAAAGTTACTAAATAAAAGCAGGAAATTCTCAGAACTAGTATTGTTATGCACATATGCATAAATTAAAACTGACCATGTGTGTATATGCATTGATCAACACTTTGAAGAGGATACTTATAACACATTAATTTTATTGGGGTAAGGTGGACGAAATGGAATGCCTCTCCATTGACTTCTCCATCTGAAAACATCCAGGCTGCTATACACATGACACTTCTGAATTTTCATGGGTCACTTCTCCAGTTGCTTGAGAGTTATTTTCTGTTTCTTCTAATTTTGTGTATTTTTTAATAAATTCCCAAAGTTTCCTTAAAATACATAAGAAGTGAATATAATAGATTAGAAAAATGCATTAAGGAAGAAAGAACACTTCAAAGTAAACTTCTGTTTAAGGGCACGTTTATCTGAAAACAGATGAAACTCTGCAATCATCTGCCTTTGACTGAAGAATATTTTAGCACAGTTTAGACGCTGGATGGAAGGAAGACCTGCTTGTGTTTGGATCCCCCCAAGCCCCCACCCAGCATCCTCCAGATGAAGGACAGCGTAACAGCAGGGGTGGACTTGCCACCAAGAGTACACACAGCCTTCAGCCACTCACTCTTGCTGCCGGAGTGTGCCAGGAGCCTCCCAGGGCCAAGTTCGTAATGTTGTCGTTACCCAACTTCCACAGCCCCCCACAGCACAGGAGGAGCAGGAGTCACGAGGCTGAGATCCCAGTCCAGTGCCCTTCTCCCCTGGGTTTCTCTGTCTACCTAGTGGGAGGGAGGCGTCCTCTGTTTCTGGCCTCCTTTCCAGCTAAGGGGGGTGGTAGGCCATACCGGCCACTGAGGTGTGGTTGGGAGTCACTGAGAACCACTGTCCCCCTCAATTGAGCTGAAATCCCCATGTGAGAAGTCTTTGGTTATCTGTCCTCCTCTTCCCCTCCCTTCCTCCTTGGAATATGGACCTAATCCCTGAAGACAGCCAAACTGAGACCCCGGGGGAGGTCTCAGGAAAGGACAGTGCACGCCTAGTTACTGGATGCCACCACTGAGCCTAAGGTGTCTTCCCTGTTGATACAAATAAGCCTTCCCTAAACCCGCATGTTTTTCTACCACTTCCAATTGTACCAAATCCTGGATCGAAGTGCAGCATCAAGTCTCAGAAGAATAGCCATGTGAAGCACAAGTCACCTACACAACAGGCAACTGAAATAGCCATTTGCTTTTGAACTTAAAATTTTAAAGGAGTATATTCACAGGGTTTTTCAGATTCAACTTCACAAAAATCCATGTAATTTGAGAAAAGAAAGCCACCCATAGCCACAGGCACCCCCACTTTCCTGGCCCTGCCCAGGGGAATCCACTGCCTCTCTTCAGCTCTCTCTAATGGATTAATCTCGACATTGAAAAACAATCCATATACATTGAGGTTTAAATCTGGGACTAAGCACTTTTAAGCAGGAAAAGCTGCAACAGTATGAAGTCGGCATTCCCAAGTGCTCCTCGGGGCTCGGCCTGCTCTGCTCCAGGTCCAAGTCTGGTAGTGTTCTGGGACAGCAAGACAGTTACAGCTCTTTCCTGAAGATATACTCACGGCTGCTCCTCCTCACTGATTTTGCTCTTTCTCATGAACTGCTTCAAATGGTTTTCACTGGCCTACAAAAAATTTAAAATCCTGTCGTCATGTATGATGGCAATGAAATTGAATCCAAATAAATCAGCATTTCTAGAATCAGGTATAACATACTAATTCACACTGTGTACAATACAGACAGATCCACACGTAATAGACCTGTAGCATGCTAAGGTGTGTGTGTGTGTGTGTGTGTGTGTGTCTTCCTGGAGATGGAAGCCAGGGCTTTGCAAATGTCAGGTAAGTGTTCTACTCAGCCCTAGGGGACATCTTCAAAGCTGCTAGGTGAAGTCAGTTCAAAAGAATCCTTGTCACCAAATAAACTCCTTATGTTGCATGGTAAAGTGTAGATGGAATAGAGAAATCATCATTATTAGCACATCCTACCATTAAAACTCAGTGCTACACTTTCACTTATACATCAGTTTACACCTGTCAGTTTTAAGATACTGTGTGCATAGCCAGATATTTGGAGCACCACGGGAAGCTGTTGTCTAGAGGAAGAAGGTGTGTGTTCTTGTTTGTCTGTGACACGGGGCAAGTAGGTACCCCAGGGATCACTTCTACTGATGACACTGATTCAGGCACCAAGAAGACTTACTTCCAATTTCTTCTTTAGGATCCTATTTGATGTTTCCAATCTTATAGCTTCATTCTGAAGGACAAATGGTTTAAAAGCAAGATAGCTGGTTAATTATTTTTCTCTGTTTATGGAATAAAAAGTATTATGTAAATGGTGTCATCTCAAGAGTACTCAAACACAACACTTAAAATCATATGATTAAATGAAGGACAGAGGGTAAGAAAAAATATCTCTGGCCTCTGTTTCAAAAACTGAAAAAGATGGGATTAATTCTTCAAAAATTTAAGACCTTAGGGAAATTCAGAGTAAGGTCCCTCACTGTTCAGTGGCTGGAAACAATATAAAACTACAAATACAAGCTGGGCATGATGAGCACATTCAACCATTAAAACTAAGTGTTACATTTTCATTCACACATAACTTATACCTGTCAGTTTTAAGATGAAAAACTGTTTTAATCCCAGAGACTCTGACAGCTGAGGCAAGAGGATCACAAGTTCAAGACTAGCCTCAGCAACTTAAAAAAAACCCTGCCCAGTTTACAAAACTTAATATATATATATACACACACACACACACACACACACACACACACACACACACACATATAGCCATACCTCATTTTTGTGCTTCCCTTTATTGTGCTCCATCGATATTTGATTTTTCATTTACAAATTGATGACTTGGAACAACCTTGTGCCAATCAAGTTCATTGGCACTGTTTTTTCACCATTAACAGCACATATAATCATTAGCACTTTTTAGCATAAAGTTTTTAAAATTAAGGTCCATATTTTTTAGAGAGAATGCTGCTATACATTTAATAGACTACAATATAGCATAAGCATGACTTTTATATACTCTGAGAAATCAAAAAACTCATGTCATCAGTTTATTGTGATGATAGCTTTAGTGTGGGAGTCTAGAGCCAATGCAGGACTTCCCCAAGGCCTGCCTGTACTGGTACTTAACACCTGCACCAGGAACCCATCACCAAGTGTAAGGTGGAACATTTTAAATTTCCATTTATAATAGTAACAGGTCCTATAAATTCATGTGAGTAAGTATAATAATTATTCAAGACCAAGACACAGAAATAAATAAAATAAAGTTAAAATGATCCTGGATACGAATATTCATATTGTGAAACTACCACTTTCTCCCAAGTGGATTTATAAATTCATTGTAAGCACAATCGGAATACCAGAGTCTTATTAATAGTAGAGCTTGAAAAATCAGTTAGTACTGTGAATGAGAATATCCAAGTTAATCATGAAAAATGGTGGACGGGGGTTATCAAGACTTGCTCTTACAGATAGCCAATGTGTTGGAAAGGATTAGCAATTATGGCAGTGAGGCAAGATAATGATTAATTAAGAATCCAGAGTACCTTAGAGCACCACTACCAGCTGCATACCATACATTTCTAATTACTCAGCTTAAAAAAATAGTGCTGGGAAAATATCTGTGACTATATAGCCACAAGAGGAAATTCTTATAAATTCTACAGCTAGAGATTATATTGAATCCGACTGCACATTTTCTGCACAGATTCTGCAGGTATTGGCCATTGACAGCTCAATGACATTTGTATAATTTTTGTTTCAGCTGGTTTTTAATTATTCTAATTATCTGCCACAAACTCTTTGAAATAAAAATACATTTGGACCAAATTTGACTGTATTTTTATACTCTGTTACAGAATCAAATTGCTTCATGCATTCATCAAGGTCTCAAGCAAAAGAACAATATAAATGTTTAAACAAATTGCATACCTCTATGCTTTTAAGCTTATTCTCGGCAATGCCTGAAATTCCAGTGTGCACCAGTGTTGCTTTAATTTGCTTTTCAAGGTCTTGAATTTCATCCCATTTCTTGAGTATTTCACATCTCTGAATTTCAACCTTCTCCGTAAGAGTAAGTTGTTCCTCATCAATTACTTTTTTCTCGGTTTCTTCTGGAAATATATTTTGAAGGCAAACTATTATTGTGTTTAATATCTGGCTCTCATTAATAGTACTGTGTATTATTAACAATATTATGTACATCATTTATAACTATAATGGACCTCAAAGTCCAAGCATGTCAAAAATAATCTGATCTAAAAACGAGGTATACCTTCCTTAATTCCTGATTTAATTCATTCATATAATCAATAAGTGTTTATTGACTATCTTGTTTTGTGTGCTCTGGCCAAGGTGTAAGGTTTAATGGTTGATTATTACTCACAGACTTTTCCAGGTTTGCATTCAGATGGTGCAGACCATCAGGAGACTATACAGAGCATGAAAGGGAGCCGAGGGGTAGTGGAGACCCACAGGAACCTCTGACAGTGTTCCCCAGGTAGGCTGGGGAGGGACCAAGGGGCAGATTCGAGTCAGGCACGGGCAGGGGCGACAGAGGGAAGACATGGGTGGGAACCCCGCACTTGCCTGATCTTTCCTTAGTGATTCGAAGCAGTTTGTTCTCCACCTCTAATTCATCTCTGAGTCTACAAATTGATAAGTTAAAGAAAGTGAACCGTGAGAGCTTCATTGATACTTTGTTCCTTTTATCTACTTTATACTACAAGTCTTCTTTCTACTGAGAAATAAAATGGTATCACCTGACTTTCTAACACAAAAGAGAAAGAAAGATGTCTATAAAGCAGAGTCCAAGTAGGAGAGCCTTTTCCCCAGGACTGCATGCACATTAGAACAGGTCGACTTAACACAGGGTTTTCTGTGGTGCTTGATGTTATCCTGGACTTCAATTGCTAAGAAAGAAGGCAAACGATAAAAATAAAACCACTAACATTTTACATGCTGAGGCAAACAGCCAATCAGGGCAGTTTGTGCCTACTGACGCAGGAATAGACGTTTTGCATTACGATCACACCTCACAGTCACAAGTTAAAATTCCACTATGTTTGAACTAAAAATAGATATAGATTTGGAGGAGGAGGAGGAGGAGGAGAGACCTCAATAACCTCTTTGTACTTTTTTCTTGGTGCAAAGTTTCATTGTCACCAGAGCAGCAGGGCTGGCTCAGCTGTGACACCACACCCCATTCTCCACCTCCTCCCAGTTCCTCCACAGGTCTGCCCAGGTATCTGCCTCACAGCCTCCTGGTGCCTGACTCCTATGGGACAGCAGAAATGACCTATATGACTAGTCTCTGTCCCACACCCTGAAGGTGTGCCACAGTGACCTTCTCTCAGTCACTGGGACCCCACAGAACCTGGGCTGCAGCCCTGAACCCTGCACCAGGGCTCCCTGTGCAGGCTTCCGTGGGTGACTTGGGTCATGCTCTGGATCCATATGAAGTCCCCTGCCCAGCAGTGGGGCACGTGTGACCCGATGGCTCTTGTGGCCCTGCAAGCATGCTGCCCACCGCCCTTTGGATTCTAAGTCACAACCTTCTTGTGTCATTTCATGGGTTTTGCTGAGCCGCCTCACCTCCTCTGTATCTCACCTGAGGTGCACACCTGAGCCTAACCCTACTGCTCAGGAGAGACAGGCTTCCCGTGACCCAGCCACGGGTCAGCGCCTCGGCAGGCAGCTAACGGCCAGCTGGAGAGGGCTCCTGTCAAAGGGCCGCTGTGAACCCACAACCAAGTCCCCTGGGCTCTTGGGAAGGGTGAGAACTTAGTGCCACACAGTGAGAGAGGCCTTCAGACAGACCAGAGCAAAGGCCAGGGCCGACAGCGAGGTTGCGGTGGGAGTCTGCTTTCCTGAGGACATTTGGTGACTTCGGTTTTGTTTTAATCTTTTTTTTAAAACTCCTTGCAAGCAGTAGATCCCATCGGATTGTTATTTGTCCCTGGAGGACCATACAGACGGGTTAGAAAGAGGGTGCAGCCATAGCTCACACCTGTGAGTAAGTGTTCAGGGGCCAGCAGGGAAGAGATGAGACTTTAGAGCCCTCCCACCAGGGAAACACCATATTGGGCAGAATATCCTGGCCACCCTGGGACAGCTGTGGCAGGGCCAGGAATCATGCTGTTTAAGGCACCACGTCACACCCAACAACACAGAACAAAATTCAGACGTGTGTGAGTCACGCGGCTTTCAGACCTTGGTGAGTAAGGCCACCCAACCCGGATGGAGGAGCATCTGCAGTGCTCACTTGTTGTAGTGCTCCAGGGCCGCTCTGGTGGCCTTCACGAGTTTCCTCAGCTCCTCCCTGGCCTGGTCAATATCCCCTCTCCGCACAGGACTCTTCTCTAGCTCTTTCGCTTCAGCCAGGTAAGTCTGGGAGGGCAAGGCACAGAGAGGGTGAGGCTCACCCAGGAAGGGCAGAGAATGTCCCTTTGACATTACTGTGCATTCAAGATGCCCTGGGTCAGAATATGGATGCTAGTTAAAATAGGTCCAGCAGGAGGACCCGAGAGATGGGATATTGGGGGAGGACATCCTGGTCAAGTGAACTTGTGGTTAAACGCTTTTGTAAAAGCTATTTTAATGTTTTATTTTCCTAAGAAATTTTTTAAATGGCAGGGGGTTCCCAGGTTGCTTTGTGTGGGGGGAGGACATGCTGAACAAAGGCCTTTGGGTGCGCTGTCACCAGCCCCCAGGCATTTCTTCAGTCAGTGGGAACCATGGGAACTCAGTGCTGTGCTCAAAGGCAGAGCGGCAGAGACCTTCGCCAGGTTCTCAGGAATAGAAAGATCTAGAGCCTGATAGCCTGGGAATTCTTTCACCCTGATGTTTGACACAATGTGGACACAACTGACCCTTTTCTACTCAACCTTGAAAAGTAAGGAACAGGCAGATCAAGGAGGTCTTGCTGAGTCCTGAAAGACAAGTCCGAACAGCATGAAGGGCTTGGAGGAGCGGCCACAGAGGACCCGAGTGTGAGTGTCCCGAGGAGGAAATCAGAACTGACCTCCTTCTATGCTGCCGAGTTTTTATGTGCAAAGAGAGAAACTGCATCTCCTCATTGTGAAAATGCCACCCACAAGTTTTAAACTTCACCAAATTCAAAATGCCAAGACACCAGAGCCACAGTGTGACACTCTGAGATTTTATAAGTGATGACTGTTCCTGTAGCACAAATTTCCTACTACAACCAACACACATTCAACCCAACTCTGAGGGACCGCCTAGGAAGCCACCACAGGAGGTGACAGCCGCTGTGGCTGGGCCAGGCGGGCCGCATGGCACTCCTTGCAGTACCTGGCAGAACTACTGTGGGTGCTCCGGCAGTCACTGAAGTGGCACCCTTTTAACCTCCCAAATAGTGTCCTCCAACCCCAGTGCCTTGGGAATGCGACCAGGGCTGTGTCCATCTAAAGGAAAGTCCATTACCAATAACATCCTGCAGCTGGTATGAAGCTCTTCCCTAATGGAAGGACCAGCTGGGGTGAAGTGCGCAGGAACACATGGTACTCCTTGGGTCCTGAATGTTTTTTAGTGCTGTGGAAGGTGGCGCATGCCCAGACAGGCTCGGTGGGTATCTCCAGGTTGACAGTTACCTCATACTGCTCCGTGGGCTGGGAGCACAGGAGTGTGGTCATGTAGAGTTCATATTCATCCTGCGCACACAGAGACATCCACTGGACATGAGTTAGGAGGCAAGGCTACGGAGCAAGGCTTGTTTTGCAGATATAAACAACACTGAGGTTAAGGATGTCCATTTAGATAATTAAAGAACAAAAGTATACAAAATGCTACAGTGCATTAAATCCTACAGTGTATTAAACCACGTGCACTAAAAAGTATAAGACCTAATAGTCTTTGAAACAAATTTGAGTTTAAACTACTGAGCATTTCAATATGTATCACAAAACAACATGATCTCGTGCCATACAGAAATCCTGTCCTGCAGCCTGAGGTGAGCTTTCTAGCAACCAGGGCATCTCTGTAGAACACACCACCACAGCACTACTGTTGTGCATCCCTACTCATTAGGGATGTTAGAGAACAGTGTGCTCCTGAAGCAAGCCAAGTTCAGCTTGGATGCCACTGAGGGGCCTTTCATCATGAAGTCACAGCAGTTTTGTCATTGCATAAGGGCTCCATGTAAAATAGCACTTGGGCAATCACAAAGGTTCACGTGCCACGAATGTTGTACTATGATTAATCAGAAAGAATTTGGAAAAACAAACAAACATGGGCTTAAGAGCTAACTGGGTGCTATGGCCTGGACCTGCAGTCGAGTCTCAGTGAAGGATGTCTCTCTGGAGAATGGGGACCTTGAACAGGGCAGGATTTCTGGGAGGTATGAGATGGTTCATGGATGCAGAACTTCACACATAGTTCTCCTAGTTATTATGAAAAAAAAAGTATGTATCTGTTACCTTAACTTCTTTTAAGATGTCACCAAATATCAAAGAACTGTTGCAAACATCTTCAAACACTTCTCCTAAGACCTGCAGCCTGCTGAGCTCTTGCGGGGGGCACGTGCATATTTTCTGGAGTTTCTGGGGACAAACAGAGGGTCAGGTTGTCTTCTCTGTACTCTCCAAATCGTTTCTCAGGTTGAGGAATCAGAAGGGCACAGCTGCCACCTCCCAGAGCCTGGTCTCAGCAGACGGTGGCCAACCAAGACCCCTGACCTTGCCCACAAGCTGCTGAGGATCTCCCCTGGAGCTTCTCTGTGAGTCTGCTCTTGGTTTCCTTTTCCTGCCCCTCCTTGCACCCTGCCCTCAGGGGTCCACTCTGCCCCTGCAACACTCAGGCCCAGCCCCCAGGCCTGGCTATTTCTCAGGTGGACCCACGGCCTTCCTGCCCGGCTCTCTCCCTCAGGAGAGCTGCCTGAGTCACGAGTCCCACCCTCCTCCTAGGACAGCCAACCCACCATCTGCCTGGTCCCTCCCCTGCCCTCTCACACCCTTCCACTGAGGGTGGATCCGGCTGTCCCTGGATCCCTCTGCTGTCCTACATTTGGTGTCCCATCATGGCCACATAGCATCTAATGCTTCGGATTGTGACCAACGTCCGCGTTTAGCCTTCCACTTCACCTCACTGTCAACAGCTGCTGACCCTGTGGATTTTCTCAACACCTGGCAGCTTGTCCCATTCCACCTGGAAATGTAAAAGAGCTGAAGATGAGTCTCAGCCCGGAGGGTCCTCCAGTCGCAGCCCTGTGTGGACAGCGCTACAGTGGCCCTTCTTACCTCCTCCAACTTCTTCTCATGGCCCGTCGCCACCTTGGCCCCTGTGAAATCACTCTTCAGTAGATCTTGCTTTGCCAGAACTTGCTTTTGGAAACTCAAGAACTTCTGGTACCTGTCGGCTTTGGTTATGCCGGCCAGGTAGGAGTTGATGTACTGGTACTCGTCCGGGCCTGGGGCCGTCAGGGTGCAGCGGCGGCTGGACCCTGGCTCTCGGTACCTCAGCACCTTCACCTGGGGCAGCCTGAGCTCCTCTCTCCTGCGTCCTTCAGGAAAGCCTTTGTCCCTCTCCGCCTTCTCTCCTTGCCTGGGAGTGAAGTCCTCTCTGGAAGTGTGGGAAGCCCGCGCCTGGGGGTTCAGGTACCTGAACAGCCGCTTGTTTCTGGCCTCATCAGGAAGCAGAGCTGTGTTGACGGTAAAATGAGCCCAAGCATCTTTCATCTTGGCGACATTCCTGTCGGGTGGCTTTCCCACTCCAGAAGCCGCTTCCCCCTTTGGCCTGCTGGTGCTGCACCAGGCGGGCAGGTGGGTCTCGGGCGGCCGGTAGAGCTTGCTGGGATTCAGGTGGCCTGAAGTGTACAGGAAGACATCTTCCTTGTGGTCTCTCTGCAGTCGGTGCAGAAGCTTCCTGAGGTCGCCCAGCGTCTTCACGCCCGGGGTCTCACAGTGTCTCCACTTGAGGTAAACTGTTCAGGGAGGACAACAGGACAGGAAGTCTCACTCTCAGCTCCACAGTGAAACAGCCCTGTGCACTGGCTGAGCTGGCACAGCCCCTGCCTCGAAGAGGGGTCTACAGGGAGAGAAGGGAAGGTGGCACCTGGCTTCACCCTGCAGCCAAGAAACCTGTGCCCTGACTCAGGCGGAGCAGCAGAGAGCGGCCCGGGGCCGCCCAGTTCCAGAGGGAGCCTGCCAGGCCAAGAAAGAGGAAGGGACAGTGTTCTAATTTGACAAAGTATTTCTTACAATATTAGCAAAGGCTCTGGAAGGAAAGGTTAAACGTTTTATTAGACTTCTCAAGATGATGCTTCAAGGTTCTTCTCTAACGTGCTTCACATGACATGCCAGGAGACACAAGAAGAAAATGATTTCCCCTAAAATTCTCAGGACACCTCACCACACTGAGTGACTGAAAGGCCATTCATCCTTCTTCTTCTGATCCCACAAAGTAAAACCCGTGGACATGTGAAAAGTGCCCTGACTCCTTCCACACAGCCCTGCTCCTCACCTGGCCCCTGAGAGGGCTCCGATCAAGAACCTGGCCCAGGACATAAATCATGGCAAGTCCTAGTTTTTAGCCAATTCCTAACCACATGAGTGCAGAAATAACAAACCGTCTCTCTGAACCTTAGTTTCTTCCTCTGCAAAGTCAAGAGAATCATCTAACTCAATATGGTTGAATAACCTCCCAGTGGAATCACTTTGGGTAAAGAAAGACAGAGTAGATGCTCCAGCCTTGAACCCAATCTTGCTAAAGGTCTACGGCCCTAAACACTTCTGACAGACCCTGAGTGCCCAGATTTGTCCTTCAATGTGTCCCCCTCAACATGAGGAAAGAGGGCCTTTTTTCTGGAACGCTGTGTAACCTGATGTCCACAGAGCAGTGGCACCGAGGGAGACAGGGGGGGCCTCAGCAGCCAGGGCAGGTTGGCGAACAAAGGAGCATGGAGAGGCTCCTGATGAGGTCGGCCTCCTGCTTGAGGAAAGCGCTCGTGGACACAAGTGGGGACCCAATCCGACAGACACTTCTGTACACGTGCTCCTGAGTAGGGGACCCAATAGAAAAACTAAAACAGACGTGTGGACACAGCGGGCACCAATCAGTAATACTGAGGAGAGTGTAGACAGGGGGTAAGGAGGGAATTCCTGAGACTATAAAAGAACAGGCCAAACCCACCCCCCCATTGGTTTTCCAGCTCTGGGGCCTTCTCTTCAGAGAAGTCTGTCTCTGTAGCTCTGTCTCTTCTCAGTAAACCTCCTTCTTGCTGCCATCTCTGTGTCCTGCTCTTCAATTCTTTGCTGAACGGAGGCACCGAACCCAGCACCCCTAGATGGTAGCACCACCACCTTGGAGCACTCTCAGGAGTTGCTAAGAAAACGTTCAGTTGCACAGCAAGACTGGGACCTCGGTGCTCCCGCAGCCGCAGATGCTAAGCAGGCCCACCGAGTCCTCGAGGGGCCACCTGAGCCTGCACAGGCCCAGGTGACCTCCACAACCACGTCTCCACCACAAGCCCCTCTGCAAACGGCTCATCTCCATTGTGAGGAGGACCAGTGAGCAGCGTGGAGAGGGAGCCAGGTCCGGACGAGCACTGTAGTGAGGCCGGTCTCAGACCAGCCTTCCCCCTCACAGACCCCTCTGCTCTGTGCCAGGACTGCCTGTGCAAAGTGGGCAGGCGGGCACATTCTGAGACCCGAGCTACACGCACCCCACGTCTGTGCCCAGTCTAATCGAGAGCTTTGCCTGTGAAGTCAGGGTGCACTGTGGTCCCTATTTTCACCCAAGAGAAAAAATGAGTCCAGAAAAAAAAACAGGGGCAGCCACAGATTCCCTGCTGTGTCACAAATGACCATGGAGAGCAGCCTCCGCACCCCAGCGCCGGGCTGAGGCCCGGGGCCTCCATGAGAACATCACGGGGCTGAGACAGAGGTGTTGGCCAGCTGCGTTCTTGGAGGCTTTGGGGACAAAATCACTTCCAGGCCTATTTTTCTTGTTGCCAGATCCAATGTCTTGTGGTTGCAGGAAGGAGGTCCCCGGCACCGCCCACATTCCTTGGCTCAGCCTCCTGTCTCTGAGCAGCACAGCTTCCCACCCACAGCCTCTCACCCTCTTCTGGGACCAGCCTCTGAGCTCTGAGAGTCACAGGATGGGTGCCGTCTCTTGAGGCCAGTTGTGCCCTACGATACACAGCAATTCCCAAAGCTCTGTCCATTTCCTCGTCTCCACAGACCTGGGGATGATGTCTGGTGTGAACAGCAGGGAGCCAAGAGACTATGGAGCTCTTCAAAATTCTGCCCTGCTCCAGGACCTGCCCAAACCAGGGCCCAGCCTCCCCCGCACTGTCCACTGTCCCCGCTGTGAGGGCCACTAGGGCTGGATATTGGAGCAAATGCTGCCAGTGGTGGAGTTCCTGACAGTCTCTGTTGACCAGCACGGTACCTCAAAGGCACCATTTATACACATTTTTTTAATATTTATTTTTTAGTTGGACACAATACCTTTATTTTTAAAAAAATTATCTGTATGTGGTGCTGAGGATTGAACCCCGGGCCTCAAATGTGCTAGGCAAGCGCTCCACCACTGAGCCCCAGCCCCAGCCCCCAAAGACACCATTTATGAACAGGTCATATACTAATCAACAGAACAAGGTTTCAATGTCTCACTGTCGTTCTTCAGAGGCACTGACCCACAAGGCAGGGAGACGAGCTACGTCAGCTCCATGGGAAATGGGGAGAGGCCACTTGAATGCAGCCATTATCCTCCCTTCAGTTTATCCAGAAGTTTTCAGAAGGGCCTGGAAGCCTCAGCTAGCTAATCAGCACAGTCACCTTCCTATTAGCATAGGAGTCGACTGCAGTAACACTTGGAGGATCCAGATTCCATGGCTCTCTGACAAGTTCTCACACTACTGACCACACACTCCATTCTGGCCCTGGATGTTACAATACTGTCCTTACTGAAAACATTGTCTTTTGCATACCCTGGACAGCAAAAAATAAAAGTGAGTATTTTACAAATGATCTGAAAACATGTAGAGACTTTTTGAATGTGTATTGATTTAGGAAAACACAGTAGTAGGCTTTTGGATAAGGTTTAGATTCATTAAACATTTCCAACAATTTAGCAGCTAACATTTTTAGACAGAGTGTCTTTAGTTTAGAAATTCTGCTTATGCTTCAAGATGGAGACAAGAGGTCTTGAAAGTCGCCATCATTACAGATCACGGTCTCTGTTGTCTGGTCTCTGTGAACCCTGGGGTCCACAGAGATTCTCACTGGTCTCTTCCAAGAATGGCCTCATTCCCTCTACCCTGCACTTAGCAAACACCCTGGGGGCAAGTTAGTGGAAATAATGAAGAGAATTCTGGAGACCATAACCTGCAGGCCCAGCCAGAGGAGAGCCAAGGAGCCTCAGGGGACAGTGGGCAGTGGGTCCTCTCTTGTGCCCTGTGTGCTCTTAGTTCCTTAGAGAATCTGTGCAGGCTGCTTGACCTTTCCCAAATCCCAGACAGCATCAGAACTCTGACCTGGTCACACTCTGCCTTTACACATGGATCTGCAAACATTTTGACACATCCTCAAGGGAAGGAACTTTATTTGCATTATAATCTTGAGAAAAAGTGAACAGCCATTGCTTCCTGTAATCAATGTAGAAAAGAAGCACTGTAACATTTAAGTAGTGATAGAAAAACCTACAGGGTGCTGTACACTGCACTGTATGTCTCAGAAAGCAAAGTCCTACAGCAGTCCTGCAGGGTGGGGACACAGCTGGGAGTGGTGGAAGGCAGAAAAGCCCCAGGGGAGCACTCGTCCCTGGGGAAGAGAGTCAGAATGATCAGACTCACAATGCTCTTGGCTGGCCAGGTTGCGGGGGGGGGGGGGGGGGGGGCGTAAGAATGACAACCTCGGACTGCAGTGTCACAGAAAGGGACTTTGCAGATTTGACTTAGGTGATGGGCCTTAAAATAGATTGCCCAAGACCATCTGGGCAGGCCCATCCTAATCACACAAGTCCCTAAAAGCAAAGAGTTTTCTCTGGCTGGAGTCACAACGGAGAGTGGGCTAGGAGGGACTTCAGAGATTCCAACAGGAGAGGAAGATTCTGGGCAGAGGGCCCTCCAGGATGGGGAGAAGGCAGCCACTGGGGAGCCGTGGGGTGCCACAGTGCGGACGGCCTGGGGGAATTCCTCCCCAGGGTCCAGAGATGAGCACACCCTAGAGAACATTGATGTCAGCAGAGACCCTGAGCAGAGGCCCACCCAGCTCATGCAGACCTGCAACTGCAGAATGCAAATCATATGCATCAGCGCTATTTGAAGTCACTATTTGGGGAACTTGATACAGCAGTAGAGGAAAGGAGTACACTGGGACACTGCACAGAAGCCAGGCATGCTGCGTCCACGTCTGGTGTGAGCCATAGACAGCAGAGGGGAGAAGACGTGTGGAACTGGGAATCAGCAAGAGCAAGTTTCACCCCAGGGCCACGGCCACGTGCGAGGAGAGAGGCCCCCCAGCCTCCCAGCCTCCCAAGGTTATGGGAGGAAGGCTGGAGTTTCTTTACTCTTAGGTTAAAGACAAACATGGCCTCTGAGACTGCAGGCTGCCCTTTGACAGCGTGGCTCGAAAGCAGCCCTGGAGGCGGTGACCTTGTGATCCCCTTCATAGGTGAGGATGGGGGCACAGATACTTAAATACTGCCCAATGTCCGTCCAGAGGGCAGCTGCCTCCCCAAACTGCCCACCGCTGCACTTCAAAGCTGCAAAGTGCCTTTAATAAAGCTTCCACTGTCCACTCTACTCTTGCCTCTGTGTGCTTCTCCGGTGTTATACTTCAGCATTTGGGGAAGCAAGGACTCGTCACCGGTAAACAGTGGTAACAGACTGGGCCACGCTCAGTTGGTGACATGCACAGGGTGTGTCCTGCAGTCCAGGACTAGCATCTAGAAGTCTGCCCCTCCAGCCCCTCCTCCCAGACAGGGCCAGATTGCCTGCACACACACACACACACACTCACACTCACACACACACACACACACACACACACGCAGGCACCCCACACATCTGCCTCTTCCGGCCTGTCATTCTGGGATCTGAGAAGACAACACATCCTGACACCAGTGTCCCTGGAGCTGATTTGCAGCCACAAGAGAGACTTCACTTTTCAAAACAGACTCAAGAGAAACTGGGTTCCTAGGTACACCTCAGACAAACGTCAGAAGCCAAACACAAATGCCTGATGTCCACTTACATTCTGGCTCCAAATCCTTAGCCATGGCCTCCCTCACCAGTGTGGCCTCTGAGGCCCTGGGGTTACCATGGGACCATCAACATTCCAGGCCCCGCCCCCACCGCGTAGCTCAGCTGCCAGCTACAGGGTGCCTGCCAGATTCCCCCACTCCTCCCCCCTGTGATTCTGACTTTAATGGGGACACCAGGTATTTGCTGGTCTGCCTGGCTTTTAAAAATGAAACCATCGAAAATGTACTTGCACTCTTCAATTCCTCCCCCAAACCTGGGGTAGGCCAGGTAACTGGTTGCTGTTTGGACTCCAACCCCTCAACTATACCCAGAATTCTAGTGCAGTGTGGGCTTAGGGACTTCATGATCATAGGGTGTTGTTATGTGGTGTTGCTTCAGTCAGATTTTTGCTGTGGTGACCAAAAGATCTGACAAGAACAATATAGACGAGGAAAAGTTTTTTGGGGGCTCACGGTGTCAGAGGTCTCAGTCCATAGGAGGATGGCTCCATCCCTTGGGGTTCCAGGTGAGGCAGAACACCATGGCAGAGGGGTATGGTGGAGGAAAGTGGCTCAAGGACATCACACATTGCCCCAGGAAGCAGACAGAGCGCCTCTCATTGCACAAAATATAAACCCCCAATATAAACCCCAAATCACACCCCAGTGATCCCCCTCCCCCAGCCACACCCCACCTGCCTACAAGTACCACCCAGTGAATCCCTATCAGGTTTCAGTTCACTGATTGGGTCAATTCTCTCAGAACCCAATCATGTCACCTCCAAACCTTTGTGCATTATGTCACAGATGAGCTTTTGAGGGACACCTCACATCTAAACCATAGCAAGTGTGACTCCCCATGGAGTCCAGGCAGGGAATTGAGGTTCCCTGGTGAAGCGACTTGCAGGATCAGTTAACGGGGAGGGAAGGTCGGACACGTCCTTGCTCCCGGCAAAGTGTGTGCTTTCCCTCAGGTCGGCCCGTGTCGTGGAGGAGGGGAACAAGAAGCGCCTCTCCACACTGGGAGAAGTGTGACTTTACTAAATATTTCTCAGCCAGAAAGAACTGGTTTATTATAGCCAGGTGGTGACTCCATTTGCTCTTAGACGTCACTAGGGCCAGCCTGCTCTCGGCTGTGCTGAGAAGTGGTGAGCCCCAGAGCTGTGAGAGCCGAGTCGGGCGGCGCTGGGCAAATTCGGGCACAGGGTTCTTCCCTTTGCCTTGTGTCCTTTGGTGCCGGTCAGGAGAACGTTCGGGAAACCATGAAGCCATATGACCACCACCTGCTCACGGGGCTGCAAATTAGGTGTAATTCAACTTGTGGAAAAAGATGACCCCAGTCTCCTGACTTTCTCCGGTGCCCGCCCTAGGTTGGCTTGGCACCACTGTGGAAATGCTGCTCCGCAAAGGCCACTTCGCACGGGGGCATCTGAGTTTGGGCCTGGGGTGACCCCTGCAGCCCACCGTCAGCTAATTACCGAGGAGGGCCCCGTCCGAGCTCCGTGTTGCATATTTTGATTTAATATTTGTGATTTAGCCAGCTGGCTGCCCGGTGTGCCACCGCCCCCACCCCCGTGCGCGTGGGCCACAGAAAGGGATCCTCTATGCGCCCCTCCTGTCGGTCGGCAGGTGGGCGGAGGGACGAGGGGTTCTGCCCCTGGGAAGCGGGAATCGTGCGAGGCCCAGGGGAGCTGCTGCCCTCGGGGTTCAGCCTGTGCTGCCCACACGCCTGTGTCTTGGCACAGAGCAGGATTGGGCTGAAAGTCCTGGTTTGGAAAAGAAAGGACACAACTGTTTTCAGGACCTGCATTTCTCCCAGTCGCCCTCCCTCGCGGCAGCACGCAAATGCCGTTAGACTGGCCACCCCTCCCCTGGGGCCCTCCCGAGAGCCCGTGGTCAGGGGAACATCAGGCGCCCACGCCCCTGCAGCCCCCCGCTGCTCCTGGTGCATCCTCGTGTTGGCCGTCGCTCGCTGCGCTGTGGTTTTTCCCCTCTAGGGGGCGCGGGAAGCCGGCCCGAGCGGCCTCAGCCCGGAGCCCCGCTCCTGTCTGAAGGGCAACTGGTCCTGATGAGAGTCTCCTGTTACCGCTTCTCCAGCCACTAGAGTTCGCTGGGCGCCAGCAAAGAGAGCTTAAGAGAGAGCCCATAGCATGGGAGGAAATGGTGGCCAGCTACTCCTCCGAAGGGGGCTAGTGTCCAGACCTATAAAGAACTCCAAAAGCTTACCACCAAATAACATAAGGTAAAATAATAAAATAAAAATAAAATGATTAAAAATAAAGTAACCTGATCAATAAATTGGCCAAAGAACTAAACAGACATTTCTCAAAAGAAGAAGCACAAATGGCAACAAATATATAAAAATATGTTCAACATCCCTGGCGATCAGAGAAATGCAGAGCAAAACGACACTGAGATTTCACTTCACTCCAGCCAGAAGAGCAATTATCAAGAATAAAAATAATAATAAATGTTGGAGAGGATGTGGGGGATATTGCTGGTGGGACTGAAAGTTAGTACAAACACTCTGGAAAGCAGTGTGGAGGGTCCTCAAAAAACCTGGAATGGAAATGCTTACTATATGACCCAGCAACCCCACTCCTTGGTATTTATCAGCATACAGTAGGAATATAGGCACATCAATGTTTGTAGTGGTCAAGTCACAATATTCAAACTATGGAACCAGTCCAGGGTGCCTGTCGGCAGGTGAATGGAGTAAGAAAATGTGGTGTACGTATATACACCACGGAGTGTCACTCAGTTATAAAGAAGAATGAAATTATAGGTGGAAATGGAGAACAGCATGCCAAGTGAAATAAGCCAGACTCAGAATATTTTCTCTCATATGCCAAAGCTAGAGCAAAATAAGGGTCCCCCCTTATTTTGGGTGGATATCACAAAATATTGGGAGTAAGAGATCTAGAAGGAAAAAGGAGAGATGGGAACAGGGAGGGACTGCAGAATGAATTCACCAAAACCACTCTATGTGCATGCATGAATATACCACAGTCTTCTACCTTTATGTAGAACTATAAAGCCCCAACCAAAAATAAATGAGTGAGAGGAAGACCCGTAGAGCAGAGGAAGGGTAATAGGTGGAGGGAGGGGGGAGAAAGGGGAGGGCACTGGGGACTGAAATGGGGTGAATAAAACTCCATGCACTATGAATTTGTCAAAATGAACCCAATAGTTGTGCATAACCATAATGCTCTAATAAATGAAAACACAAACACAAAAAAGAATTTGTTGAACAAATGAACAAATTTTCCACGTTTTTTTGGGGTGTTGGGCATGGAAGCCAGGACCTGGCACATGCTAGACAAACGCTCCACTCCTGAGCTACACTGCCAGCCTTGCAGAAACTTTTTAAAACATCTTTATGCTTTGTAAGTTCTGGAAACAGAATGCTGTGTTTAGAAAATCTCAGACAGAATGAAAATCCAAATTCTCTGGACTGGCAGGAGGAAGGAGGAATGGGCGAGGAGGGATTCCAGTCTGGTCCTGACACAACAAGGAGTCCTGGAAAATTCTAGCAAGAGCTAAGGTAGCATCAGTCCCCATGGTGGACCCATGACTCTGAGGCCACTGTGGCCCAGGACAGGTGGGGCGAGGTGAATGCTAATGAGGGTCCCCCTTCTGTGCAGGTAAGCAGTTTCCGCCCGCCCAGACCTCTCCACTCTTCTCCCTCCCTGCGCGCTTCCCCCCAGCCCCATTCCTCCAGATGCAGGGCAAGGAAAGTCTGCATCCACCCAAGGCCAAAAGTAACCCAGGTTCTTGAACCCCTTGCCCTCTCTCTCTGTCTCGAGCCTCTCCCCCTCTCCGTCTCCCTCTCCCTCTCATCATCAATCTTTTTTTTTTATAAGAACATATCCACCAGCAAACAAATGTGCTTTTGTTTTCTCATCTTCAAAACACGTAAGACAATGCCCGAGTTGACTCCACCTCTAACATCTCTCTGAAGCATTTTGCTCAACACAAAAGATTCTGGCCCAAGGTCTAGAGGGTAGCTCAGTGGTAGGGCACGTGCCTGCTCTGTGCAAGGCCTTGGGTTCCATCCCTTGTCCTCCCCCACCCCCCCAAAAAAGAAAGAAAAAAATATTTTGTCCTAAACGTCCCATGTGAACAGCATCTAAGCATGTGGTCTGTCTGCAAGGAGGACAAACGCCAAGTTCATTGTCCTGTCTGTCCCCACGGGTTGGGGCTTCCTGTGCTGCACCTACCTGCCTACAGTTGAGCCATTTCCACATACCTCAGACCTTCTCAGATGTGGCCTATATTTGGCTCTTAAGGTGATTTTCTGCAAATAACTTTAAGTGATATTTGAGGATGAAATAACCATAAGATTCAAAAAGTTTAAAAGATGGATAAAATATGCAAAGAACTCCCCTTGGAATTTTCTGCTCCCTACCCACTTCCCAAGTCACCTCTTCCTCCATGTGAGTAAAGCAGATCATTCCAGCTACATTTGCCCTGGAGAAGCAGCCCTTTCCTCTCAGAACATCATCGCCACCCATGCATGACCACGAAGGCCACACTAAAGTGTCCACTCTCTGGGAAAATTATCACCCAATGCCCCGGAGCCTGAATACAACAGGAGGAGGTGCCAGAGTTGGTTCTCTCTGCCTGACTATGGAGTTGAGAGCTGTTCTCCTGCCTCAGACTGAGACCTACACCCTAGCTTCTCAGGCCTTAGCCCCTGATTTACACCACTGACTCTAAGGACTCAAAACTGAGCCTACACCACCAGCTTCCCGGGGTCTCTAGTTCACAGATGGCGAGTCACATCTCGGATGTCTCAGTCTTTGCATCCTGTGAGCCAAATCCTTACCAATTCTTTCTTTTCTCCCACCTCCCCCAGCCCTGTATGCACAGGTTGGTTGGTTCTGTTTCTGTAGAACCCAAACACACCTGCAGATGAGGTGGGCCTATGTATTTTAATGGAGCATTAAATCATTGAACAGGTATAGCATTTTTCTTCTGAAAGAAAAGCAACTTCCAAATTTAGCAACTCCCTTAGTGAGGAGAATTAGCCATGGATCACAGCACCTCGCTGTGGTTCAGGATGCTGCAGGGCACATCCTCACCTCTTAGCTCTGGAGTAAATTCTGGGTCACTTTCAGTCTATTGCACAGGGATGGTCCCACTGGATCCTCACAAGGTCCAACTTAAAGAAATCTCTCAGCTGTTAGGTGTGAGACCCAGAATATGCCATCTCAGAACACCAAATGCACATTTTGCTGGCTCTGAATGTGAATGGGAAAAAGTGTAACCATTTTCTAAGAGTGTATTGAATTTGCTGATGTCCTTATGTGTCTATAGCAGGAAGCCTAACTCAGTCCTGTTCAGGAAAATTCTGCAGGCTGCGCTGCTCCACCTCCTGAACTCACTCAAGCTGCAAGTCAATCAAAGCTTCCTACATACACTTTCCTCCCCTGAGTCCTAGGACAACTGGGGTGCTGGGTGGGAGCTTCAATGTGGGCCCTACCCTGCTGGTGGACCTGGCCTCTGCTAGGTCCCATCTGTCCCAGTGACGTTCCCCAAGTCTCTGTGCTTTTCAGGGGTGGTGCTTACTGATGTGATGTGAATCCATATGATCTTCCACCACACGACCTGTGTGCTCTCCTGAGCTATGTCCCCATGTCATGGCCACAAGATCAGCCTGGAGAATCTGGTCACCTCCTGCTTAGCTTTGCCCTCTTGTCATGGTGGCTCAGAGGTGGGACTTCAACTGTGGGATCTCTAGCAGATCCTGGGGTTTTCTACCTGCCCCCAGCTGTCCCCTGTGGTTCTCACCTTGGACCTCCTTTGGGAGAGGGCACACTGACCCCTCCAGTTGCTTTCTTCCTCCTACGTCTCTCTTCTCCAGTTCAGGCAGCCCTCGATAGTAGGGAATTTAAAAGTCTTCTGAAAATATCTTGCTTAAAACCAGATTACTGGCTAATACATACCCAGAAAAGCTTTCCTCTCAAGCCTCCATCTACTGTGAATTTTCAAATCTCATTTTTTCTCTTTTTCTTTTTGGTACTGGGGATTGAACTCAGAGGCACTAGACCACTGAGCCACACCTCCAGCCCTATTTTGTATTTTATTTAGACACAGGGTCTCACTGAGTTGCTTAGCACCTCACTTTTGCTGAGGCTGGCTTTGAACTGTTGATCCTCTTGCCTCAGCCTCCAGACTCACTGGGATTACAGGCATACGCCACCATGTCCAGCCCAAACCTCAGCTTGAAGGTGAGAACTGGCACTCTTTGTTCCTTTCTCTCAGGAGGAAGCATGCTTGTCATGGGGAGAGGGTCTCCAAGGTAGGAAGTGACTTGGAGTTTTAAGCAACGAGTTGGAGGGACAGGAAATGGGTGGTGTAGTCACTCCAGTGGGCTGCTCCTGGACAGATGTGAGCCCCATGCAACTGCAGGTGGCAGAAGGGGCATCTTTCTGAGCAAAAGTTCTACCTAAGTGGTGATCCCTATCAAAAAGGCAAGACATCACCTGAATACAATTACCTGCTAAGAATCTGGAAGTTGCTATTTCAAATAAACTCCTGACTATTTCTCAGCTGTTTCCCCTCAGCTCCTAGTACCCTCAGGGAAAGTCCCTCTCTGCTGGGACTTTGGAAGCCACGTGCAGGTGTGTAGCAAGAAGGGGCAGTAGAGCTGGAAGAATAAACTTTAAAAAAAATTGCCTTGCAAATACGAGTCTGTCCTGTCTTTAAATGCAAGGGTTGCTTTCTAACTTTGAGCTACTGATCGTGTAAGTAATGACTGAACAAAAGAACACGAGCTGGGAAGCAATGGCGGTGACCAAAGCCTCCTGGGAGACGAACTCAAATCCGATTTTGCAGAAACATCCTCCCACTTCCTGTCTCCCTCCCCTGCATTCCTTCCTTCCAATGTTAAGTGCCCAAGAAACACTTGTTGAATACATGTGTGAAAGTGCTGCTTTTCCGATCCTTGTGTATTAGGAAATAGACACAAGGGAGAAATATTACTCTTCTGCAGTTGACAGAACATCAAATGTATGTGTCAGAGGACTCTGACTCAAATCAGCTTTACAAAGTGTCCCTCAGTAATTTTAACTGCCAACTAATCATATGGGTATGTTGGCTCAGGGGATTCATTTTAACACAGGAAACATTTCATTCAGGTCCACGGGAAATGACTACTTCACAAAGCATTCTGTCTGCACTCTGCACTCTGCCGTGCATTTGGAGGGCCTGCCCTCAGGAAGTTTGGAGTTGGGGGAAAAGCCCCCTTGGAGGGCTACCCGTTTGCCTTCAAATTCACCAAGCTCTGGACATTCATATTCAACGATGCAGTGTCTATTCCAGTAACCTCTGACTCCCAAATTCAGCTCTGGAATGTTTAAGGTTAAGGAGGGTTCTGGGGATACAAATTTTAACAATTTTTGGTATTAAATATTTACCATTTGCCTGCTCACCTGATGGCAAGCAGAGATAGCCAAAAAACACCATTTCCTTAAGCAGAGCTTTAAAGATAAAACCACCAGTGTACTTATCACTCTATTGGATTCTGTGAGGTTCTAGTCTGAAAAATGTCTTCATGTACACTCACATGCAAACATGCAGTGCATAGTTACGGTGCTTCCTGCACAGCCTCTCTCTGAATGAGGGTGCGCCCCTTGTGACTGTGCACGTGTGTGAAGTGCCCGGAAGTTTCCATGGTCAGAGAAGCTGGCTGGGAAGCACTGGGTCAGCACTCAGTGTCCTGAGCTTTGCAGTCGGGAGCAGTCATCCTGAAAACCAGTCTTCCCAGCCAGCTTTTGAAACTTTAAAATCATACAGTGGAGCCAGTGAATCATTGTGAACTCTAACCTTTTGGGTTGGCCCATCTTTTCTGCTGGAAAGTGGCTGAAGCTAACACAGCATCTTAGTTCAGTGTGGACACGGTCCTCCAGGAGAATGAGGCCTGGGTCCTCACAGGCACTTTGGGGAGACATCTCATATCTTCCCCACAAAAGACAGCGAATGATAAAACATGAAAGATGATGTTTTAAAAACTGTATTCAATTATTCACACCAAATTATGAACATTTCTAAATATATTTCATGTATCATACATATATATATATACTTTATATGTATAATTACATATCAACAAAGATTTCTTGCAGCTCTAAGCATGTAAGTAAAACAAAGCTAGATTTTGCCATATAATACCCATATATGCATATACACTAGCTGTTTTAATTAGAAATTTATTTACATCTTGCCTAGGTTATAATAAATGATTATTGTTATACAAACATAACAGTAAAGATTCCTTTTAAAATACAAAGACTGAAAATGAATACATGAAAAAATTACACACATGTACAATATTTATAATTTATAAATGCAAAGTTAAGATCTCTTTAAATTATTGCACTTGGGCATTTTACAAAGATTTTTATGTCATACATATAAAATCATTTTTGGAAATTACTAACCCATCAACTACAATAAGGTTGGATATTGTTAACTTGGAATTTTTTTCCCCTTCCAAGAGATCCTTGTAAGGCTTTGGCCAGAGCTGCTGCCTGTATAGGTCGTCAGCTTATCCGGGCACTGTGGTACAGGGCCTGGCTGCACTCCCATGGTCCTGGTCTGCAGGAACCTGTCACAGTGCGCTCCTAGATGCCTTGGCAAGGTGGGGGTACAGCATCTCTTTTGCGCTTATGTTTATGTAGAGAAAGTCACCTTTTCTTCTCAGAAAGAATCAAGATGCTGCATTTGTACAAATTTTGGTAACTTTCACAGTGTTTTAGCCAAGCACTTAATTTCAAACAGGTAGGAATATTGTTTAGATATTAGAAATGCCTTCTACTGATGAATCTACTGTACTTTCAATCTGCACACTAAATGGATAGTCAGCATATACACCATACAACAGATCATATGGAAAAAATATTCCCAACTGTCTTTTATGTTGGGTATTTGAGCGACAGCAGAGAATGGGGTTATCGGGGTGACCTAAGAAAAAAACAGGTTGCAACATCCATGATAGGATGATGTGTTAGGTGACCTGGAATATTAAATAATACAGTTTTAAACTAAATTTATATCAGGAATAAAAACATTTTGCTCAAACTTCTGCAAATAAATAGTGCCTCAAAGTTATTAGCTGGGCATTAAAATATACACGCTGACTTCCCGCTGTGGTCCTTTCATGACATTTTTCCGGGGCCTCAGAGCCAGGCCCAGGTATACATGTTTCAGTTATAATTTCTCAAACTTGAGGACAGAGCAGGCAGACTTTACAACTCAGAACGCACTGTCTGCTGTGAGGTTGAGAGAAAAATTAGGTGACTATCATGGTGCTTCTTTGGATTTTAAATGCACTTTTCTTAAGCAATATTAATATGCGTTTCTCTTTGTTCTATCTTCTTAATCTGGAACAAGAATTCCACTGAACTTTTTCTTTCTTGGCTAATTTTTTTCGTCACATAAAATATATCCAATGCTTTAGGCAACCAAACTGTACAGTTTTTGGTTTGTTTATTTTTTAAAGACAACAAAAACAACATGTACTGCACTGGGCATCACTAATTTAAACTTAGTATAAATGCGTAAAAAATTGAGCAAAATGTGCATCAGGTTAATACTCACACACATGTGCAACTCTAACAGCCATGCGCTGCTAAGCATGGGGAACTGACTTTAGCATACACAGCCAACTCAAGTTGTACAGTGATTGATAAATCAACACTTGCAGTAGAAGGGATCCACTAAAGTGACTAAAAGAAGAGTCATTGAGAATTACAACCTAAATAAAATCTAAGTGTAGAAAGCAGACACATTGGAAATATATAGAGAAGTGATTTTCAAAAATCTGAATCATGCCTCTGGTACCTGCAAGCCAACAAAACCACATCAGACGCAGTGTTAGTTCTTAGGTTTTTTCAGTAAAGACAATCTGAGCTGTTCATTGGTTGCAGTCACCAGGGTGTATGTCAAGCAAGCCAAAGAAAGGACAGGAATCTGATGAGGAGAGAATGGTCCTGGTTCACTCAACTTGATCAAATTAACCAGGGATGTGGTCCTTTCAGTGTTTTCAATTATATTTAAGGAAAAAGAAAGAAGGAGGAGGAGGAGGAGGAGAAGAAAAAGCAAACTAATGACCAGGAGAGAGGAAGTAAATAAAACTGCAGTGTTTAAAGTCAAGGCACAGGCCAAGGCATGGTGAATAATTTAGTACTGTTAGAGCTCAAACCTTGACTTTGAATTCAGAGACCAGAAACACAACATGGCAAACTAAAAACCCAGGTATCTAGGGATTTGTGCATCTCTGCATGTCCTGTACAAAATTAGAAAAACAAAATTTTAAAACATGCTAAAAAAGAGGAAACCTACACTGAACAAATCTAGTTTCAGATCAGATGGACCCTGCATCCATGGCTGTGAGCAGGCACCCCTTGGAATGCCACTGTAAGGGTCACCATGAGGAGGGGCCAAGATGGAGCCTGCTGGCTGGTGGCTCAGCGGGCTCTTTCCCCAGGTCAGTCTCTCAGACTCATCTTTGCAGTAACTACAGCAGGGGCCTGAGATACAGGTGTCCCTGCCTTGGGAAAAAGGCCATGTTTATTAGCTGTTTATACCCACTGCATTCCCTTTTAGTCTTCCTAATTAATTAATTCATTACTAATTAATAAGATGCTTGCATTTTTGTAGGATTTTATACCACTGACAGGGTTCGATGCTTCATGTTGTTGTTGGCATACATTAAAAAATGCTCACTAAGTCTGGAAAGATAATGGAATAATTGCATTACCCATTACTAATCAACATAAACAATATAAATTTCTACAAACTGGACTTTCTACATTAGTTATAGCTGCTTACTGAATTTATATCAAGGAAAATCCAGCCTACTCTAAAATATCACCTTAATTTGGCATTAAAACCTCTGCCTGGCTTCTGGTATCACACTTCCCTTTTAAGAAAAGATCTGGGAAAAAGTCGAGAAACAGTTTGTCTGCCAAACATATTTGCCAAAATGCAAAGATGCTCCTGACCATATGTTTTCCAAAACGAATCGTTAACTAAATATCAGTGCATCCTAGGCTCTTTTTAGGTCAATCTATGCTTCCTAAAACAATCTCACACATGGCAAAAGTGATGGAAACACTTGATGTTATAGCATATATTACTTTGTTCAAGCTGCAGTTCTATTATGACAAGATTTCACAAGAAATGGACCCCCCCAGCAGAGCCACACACTCTCCTTTGGAAAACTGTTCAAAGTAGAGTCATACAATACAATACCCTTGGCCATATCAAATTAAAAGAATTTCCTGTGATCAGATCAGAAGAGCAACCTTCAAATGTAAAAGCGGCCATGAGATTCCCCGCCCAGTGGTTGTTTTCCCCATTAAGAATCAGGATTCAGCATGCCTTTAAAATCCTTTTAATTAAACAATAATCTTAAATGATAACCCCCCTCCTGAAATTTACCTTACAAATTAGATTAGATGACTCAATTCATTTACATAATGAAAGTTGTATTTGATGGGATCATTTAATAAACTCATATGAGGAAACTTATGCAACTTTTTAGAATTTTATCCTCATTGAATAATCACACTTCAGTCAAACTTATCAAGCAACAGACATTTCTCAACACAAAAATCACTTTTTAAAGAATGAGGATGATTTTTATTTTTCATACACGTTTGCCTCTTTCTCCCTATCTTTGCTTCTGTCTCATGTGTTATGTGAGTGCATCATATATACATCTGTGTGTGCACACATGCTACATGCATGCATGTATGTGTGTGTAGATCTAGCCACAGTCGGATTCCTCTCTTTAGTTATTACATTTTACTTCCTATTACTTAAGTACAATAGCAAATGGAGCTCCATGGAAAGAAGATGGCAACTTCAGAGGCCCACAAGGAAACTGAACACATAGTGTTAATCTAAAATAACAACAGTGGTTATGTACAGTCAACTCTGCTACAACATAATAAACCATGTTGTAGAAAAGGCTTTAATTTTGCAAACATCAAGCTCATATGAATGATGTGTATGGTATCGAGTATGCATAAGCCTATTTTTAAAAATTTGTTTTCTAAAGTAATATTCCATGTTCCTGCCACGAGAATAGAGAATGAGCTACTCACTAAGGACTGGGTGTCACTTCCTGAAGACTCTGATTCCCTGGGGTTCAGATACCACTGTGCTGTGGGTGGGCTCAGACTCTTTAAAGCACTAGCAGGACCTGATACTGCCTGTTCTTTAATGTCTGCAGAAGGATCCAGAGAGCGCTGTTGGACTCTTCTAGACACTAACCTGTTCAGTGGTATTAGTCTGCCAAAAACTCATATAGGAGCAACCACCCAAGTCACTGGTTTTGATGTGGATGTTTAATCTGGGAGGAGAGAACAGGACAGAGACAAGGGACAGTCCAAGGGCACTGTGCCTCCCCATGGCTGTGCCCCCCACAGCACGCCTCTGAGAGGGGACTGGGCAGCGCGCAGAGAGAACAGGAGGGATGACAGCAAACTCAAGTGAGCTACGGAACATCAAAACGTCAAGGTGCCATTTGATTTTAAGAGAACTGTATGGTCTTTTAGCGAAGTAACTTTTAGAATGAACCTTCCATTTTGAATATGAGTCTAAACTTTTTCCATGACAAAGTGACAATTTCAAGGACTCATTATTAAATATTCACATTTTACATTCACACAAGACTTATTCATTAAAAGTTTTATATGCCTTGCTTTTATTTTGTTCTTTATGCAAAGATTCAATAAATTTTCCAAGAATACAATGAGGAATTTTTTTTAACTCTTTGACATTGTTTGAACTGAGACTTGAAGTTCTGAGGCTGACAGGGTGCACACCTACAGCTCTTCTCAAAAGGCCAGACGTCCGCTTCCCTTAGTGTGAAGCCAGCTCACCGCCCTCCACCGCAGACGTGGAGCGTTGGCTTTTCCATCACTTCTGACTCTGATCTTCATGACACTGGTCCTGAGGCGCTGGGCTACAATTCAAGTCAACCCCAAGGAGGTCACACAAGAACATTCACAATAGGAAAGTGTAAAAACCTATTTATAGCCAAGGACGCCAAAGCAACAATGGTGTGAGAGCCAAAGTAGAATAGCACAAAAGTACCGTGTCAAACCCTCAGAGAAAGACGCCGTGGAAAGCACCCTCTGAGCAGTCTTGGTCCATTTCTTGTAAGGCCTGGGCAAATCAGCCTGCTAGAAAAGGACGGGTGGGGGCTGGGGAGTCCTGGCCAGCTGACTTCTGAACATGGGCCCTGCTGGCTGCACTCTGGCTGGGTGTGTGTGCTGAGACCCTGGGAAGTCGTCTGCTCGCGCACACACACACTTGACGTCAGCTTCTCCAAGGTTTTCACCCCAGCTACCAGGTGTAGGTTTTCCCCCCTCAAAAATAAAAGGAAAAAAGTCAAAGAAGCAAGATGAGACTCGCTGGTGGGACGACTGGCCCTGCTGTCAGCCATCAGTCTTCACGGGTGGCTTCTCAGAGGTCTCTGGGGCCGCTGGCGAGGCTGAGATCCACTGGGCACTCTCCTCCCCTCGGATCACCTTCTCCCACTGACTGAGGTTATCCCTGGGGGCAGAAGACAGAGGTGACGATGAAAAGAGAATTTCTGCATTCGTCTCCAAAGCTGACCAAACAGCCCTGTGGCCTGACTGGGCACAAGGCTTCTTGGCCCCTGGGGTGAGCTGGTTGGGCTGCACCAGCCATGTCTCCACAGAAAAGGCCTGGGAACCACAGGGCACTGGGCACCTCACCCCCACAAGCTCCAGTCTCAAAGACAAAGCCACTCAAGGGTCAGGAAGTGCCATTTCTTAAGCATTTGGAGGGACTGACCTTCAAGGGAGTGAGCCCTTGAGGTGCCTGCTGGGCTGTGCAAGATGAGGAAAGGCAGGGATGGCAGTGCAGGAGGCCACTGGGCTGTGGCAGAGTAGGACCCAGGCGTTCACACTGCAGGCTGGACACAGGGCTCCCTCTGGAGGCCTGGAGACACTCCTCACCATGCTTCAGATCTCATTCTGAATACTGTGTCACACACAAAATGAAACTGCCTGGCACAAACTCTTAATTGTCTTGCTACGGGAAAGCCTCACTTGTGATCTGGTGCCTCCCGTCTGAAGTGCAGGCTGCTCCTCCCGCAGCCCTCTGGTCTCTCTCGAAGCCCTCAGTTTGAATGTAACAGGCAGGTCAGCCTGTAACCGTGGGATGGCAACTGCTGCAGGACCACCAGGGTGCTCTGCATGGCTAACCCTGCAGAACTCCTGGAACACTCCCATCTGGACTTTGCTTTCTGTTATGCAAAGTCAAAATCAGAAGGGAACTTTGACACTGGCAAACAAAACTCATACACGGCACAGTAAAAACTCTTTCCACAATTTTCTTTTATTGATATGATAAGACACCTTCAGACAAAAGGGCTTCCTAAAATATAGACTGAAGAGTGCTACACTTCTAATTTCCACACCATAACATGAAATAGCATTTTCCCAGACTCAAGGTTTCCTGGTGCATTGGAAAAAGGAAGATGCTACATTTGGCATGTTTCCTTGAATACCGACGACACATGCTGATTTTTTAAATTCTAAGATTACAGCGGCCTTAAAGAGATTATGTGGTTCAGTCATGTCTGCTGCAGAAGAAGGTGTCAGAGCCACCATGATACTGTGTCCTGCATTCACAGAGCTGCCCACAGAAAGCAACTCCACCATCCGCAGCCAGGGCCACAGCAGCTATGCACTCCTCCCACTTCTAAATATTTAGCATGAAACAGGGAATTCTAAGCTACATGCTGGAGTTAGATTGATGCTCCAATTTCTCTTCAGTGCGCCTGACTTCCACAACGGGATCCCACCAGGAGAGTCCTGGTCACATGCCAGCCTCCCATCATGGCTGAGCCCTGTGCACAGGGCCGACTCCAGTAAACCAATCACAGCTCAGGCCGGCCAAGGCTCCACCCAACTAAGGCGGGTCCAAAATCTCCCCAGGAGGAGCGAGGAAGGAGAGACCCTATCTCACATAGGAAAACCATCATTATTTTATGCTGCTGGGTAGGCTTTGCCTGTTGTCCTTAAAAAATAATCCATAAAGTAAATCTCAACAGCAGAGAAGGGAGAGCCGGTTCTGGTTCTGGTTCTGTGTGCACTGGCCGACCGCGTGTCAGTCCTCGTCCTCCCAGAGTGCATCCGTGCCCATGCCCATGCCCATGCCCATGCTGGCTGTGGTACATAGTCAGGAACACCATGGGGCACCTACTCACAGGCTTTCCTCAGAGGAACTTCCTTTAAAAGTTAATTAAAAATATTCTTAAGATTTTAATGTTCCTAACTGAATTGAATCCTCAGGAAAAAGTGAGGGAAGGACAGAGAGTCTGAAGCTAGAACAAGTAAGAGATAGCTTAAATTTCTTTTGGAAGAAAAAAATACTTAAATAGGAAGGGGCCCCCATTCAAGTTATCTCTTTTTTCCATTTAACTCATTAACTATGACTTAAGATAAGCCTCTTTCCTAATAAGCATCCATGAACGGAGATTACTGTTTGGACTTTTTAAAAAACAGGATTGGGTGGGACCTCTACAGGGTTACAAACACCTCCTGCTCCTTCCTGGATGATTTTGTGAGTGAGGTTTTCACATATGCTCATGTGGCACATGTAAGGAACTACAGTGGCTGTGAGATGAGCTTGGGCATCTCCTGCTGCTACACCTGGGCCTTCCCTGTGGCATGTGGCCTGGTCTCCCATGTCCAGGGAGGAGCCCCCATCAGCAGAGGCCATTTATAGGGCTAAGCAGAGTGTGCTCTCTCGGTGCCCAGCCAGGCAGCACAGGTGTAAGGGGGCACCGTCCCCTGAGCAGAAAGGTCTCCACAGCTGACCCCGACTCCGTCAGCAGGCCTGCTCCCCACCGCGTCCTGTCTGAGGTGCGGGATGAACTGCCTGACACCAGGTGGTGTCTAAGCTTCACCTCTGATGGGCGCTGAGCTGCAGGGGAGGAGGAGCTGGGAAGCTGGCCGCCAGGACCCCCAAGACACTAAAAGAGGGAAACTTGATACCTAGGCAAACCTAGAGCCTCTCAACTCATGTTTGCTGTAAACTGTAGATAAGACACATTCATAAGTCGACGGAATGAAAAGTCCTACATGGAGTCTTGGTTGTTATTTGCTCTGGATTTCTCTTGTCTTCTAGATCACATTACAGCTTGAACCACTGTACGTACCTGCATGCTTTCAGCAGAGGCTCGGTCGGGGGGAGGATCTGGGTCAGCGTGGTGTAGCAGGGAATGGCCACGGCATTGTAGAACCCAAGCTGCCTCCGTGCAAAGTCATGGACAAGAAACAGAACTGCCCATTAGTGATCTAGTCGACCTCAACTTCTGTTCTCAAGTCTAATAACTATAAATTAAATCTTCTAGTTGTGCTGCATGTGATATTTGGGCTCAACGACTACTACTGCTGAATGCAGTTTAAAATGCATTAAAATACATCCTAGAAATAAAACAAATAAGAAAAAAACATATTACAAAAGTCTATATCCACTGAGATCTAAAACCCAAGTTGAGCTACAGGGGATCTACTGATATGAGTTAGGCTATTGCTGTTGCTGGTTAAGCTCAGTACTCCAATGCAGGCATTTCAGAGCTAAGTCTGTTGCTCTACAGGTCTGACTTGCATCCAGCCCGATGTTCAGGTGTCACCGAAGTGTCCCCATCTACTGTGCACTATCCTTGGAGTGGGCACCTGATGGCCTTCTCCTTTTATTTTTTACCTGTGATAAACGTTATTTACTATATCATAGCTCTCTGGTGTTATTATTCTCTCAAAATGCTAGATTTAATAGTTCTAAATTCCACGGTAAAAATATTTTAAAGAACACTTTATCAGGAATTTTAAATCACTTGCTAATAGATAATACTGCGTCAGACTGGAGGCAAGATGTAAAAGATCCTGAGACTGGTGGCAGAGAAGGCAGGCGGTCCAGCCACCAAGACCCGCCCAGGATGGGCTAGCTCCACTCACCCCTGGCCCACGACTGCCCAAGTGCCAGCAGGACTCAGGACAGGTTCAGGGGGAATCCACAGGCCACAGTTTACCAATTTCTTTAAAAAACTGAGCATCAAGGACATGCATCAAAGGACAGGGGAGAACAGAGGCCCCGCAGTGCCTTTCTGCCTTCTCCTTGGCACGGTTCCTGTCAGGGCCATCTTCCTAGGACAGTGTCTGTGCAGCTTCCTTCTTAACTCCAGACCTCATGCAGAGATCCCCTGATTCTAATATTTAGCAGGTGTCATGAAGTAGAAAGTCCCAAGAAAGAGAATAATTATTGGAAAGTAGAGAATTGCATTATTATGACAAAGAATATGTTCACTGTACTCAATAACTGGAGAGCAGCATAGTTGATAAATATTAGCTGATCACAGAGATATTTTATCACACTATAAAAGGACTCAAAGTTTTGGCCCAAAGCAAGCAATTCTAAAGCAAACTATTCTCCTACTCAAAACACAAAAACATAACCTAAACCCTGAGTGCATCAGGGAAAAATTTTCAGCCCTCCTATATAGTCTATTATGATAACTGTTTAAACACTTGCAAAGGAAAATTTATTAAGATTCTTTTCTTAAACCATGTAACAAGACAAATGCCAAAAGAATTAATAATCAAACGTAAAGTGATGAAACAAAGAAGAAACAACTGGAGAAAATACAGGAGCGAGTCTAGTCAGGGTGGGAAAGGACTTTAAAATACAACATAAAAAGCAAACCCCAGGAAGAAACAATGAGTCGCTGTAACCCCAAATAACTCCATGAGCAGGGATAGCAGGCGATCCTGTTTGTGTGTGTGTTTGTCTAGCATGCAGAAGAGGTATGTCAGGTGCACTGTCATGTAAGAAGGAAAAAAAATGAACCACCCAAGGCAATTGCCAGGAGTAAACCACTCACCTTCCCTGTCAGGCCAACCCTCTCTGAGCCGTGGACTTGCCCACATTAAATTTAAAAAGAGCAGGAACATAGAGAACCTGTCCAGAACCACCATACCGGGAGGATCTGACATGCTTCTAAGCAAATTCTATAAGTTTTTGTCCGTAACTTTCTTCCTATTGTGTCATTAGAAGATTGGTAGTTTAAGTTGGTCTCATAACTGAGAAAAACATCACATACACACATGTACCCCATTGCAAAAGCTCTCTTAGAATATTAAAAAATCGACATGGATTACAATGAGTCCTGGAAAGACAATCATTAATGTCAATTATTGTTAAGAAAAAACTTTATAAAATACTAAGCACTGGGCTGAGGTTGTGGCTCAGTGGTAGAGCACTCACCTGGCACTGGGTTCGACCCTCAGCACCACATAAAAGTAAATAAAAATAAAGGTATTGTGTCCATCTACAACTAAAAAACATAAAAAATACTAAGCATTATTTTTGAGGAAAAAATAGACCTGACACAAAATCCATGATGCTACTCTCAAAAAACAAAACAACACAACAAAAACTTAGTTCAGCCAATGACAGAGTGTGTTAATAATTCGAAGTCCTCCATCCCTGGGTTTCAGGTCAGAAGAATCTATTGACGGCAATGCCATCTGCAGAGAGCTGGGCTTCCTAAGCTCCGTCTTCTGCCACCAAGCTGGGGTAGGCAAGGTGGTCTCCAGCAGCTCTCGTGTGTCCAGGAGCATGCCCTCCTTCCTGCCCTCAGGTAGCCACACCCTCCAGACTCCCCACCTTGGTTTGCAGGGTCAGAGCTGGCCCTCCATCCTCAGTGGGAACACCAACTTTTGGATTCTACTTTTCCATCCCTCAAGTAAGATTCCTAAGAGTGTGTAAGCTTGTGCAGGTTCAGTCAAGTGGATGGTGGTTCAAGGATATAGTTCTTCTCCCAGTTCTCAGTCCCTGAAGGATAAATCCTTGACTTTCCTCATCAGTCACTAGACCTGGGATGACCCACTTGTCCCTCTACTCTGCAAGGTGTTACAGCTTTCTCTTCGTGAATGATTTTACACCCACATGAACAACAAGTGGACTCCCCCAACTCATACCTGCCCCTGTGGGACTTCATCCTTCTTGTCTCTGTCCATCATAGGGATTGGCTGTATTCCCAATTTCTTCATTTCATCACCCTAAAATAAAGGGGAGGGAGAAATTATTCTCTTTCAATTTTCAAATAATCATAAAATGTTGGTATTAACAAGTTATGCCCTTTATTATTTTTTTTCAAAAAATATTGCTGGATACTGTCTTGAGAAGAAGTACTGGGGACTGAAATGGAGCAAATTATATTTCATGCATGTGTAATGATGTCAAAATGAACCCCATCATTATGCATAACTACAGTGCATTAATAAAAATATTTTTAAAATAAATGTGTCAAAACAATAAAAAGCCTAACGGCATCACTATTTGGCCTTTATTCAGATGCTCTCCTGCACAGAGTCTCAGTCCTCTCTCGGCCTTCGTTGTGCTGATACACAGTTAGTGGGAGTTACAGCAGGGGAGAAACAGTGACAGTGGGGAGGAGCAGTAAACCAGGGACAGAACGGAGCGGGGTAAGCTGGGCTGTGGAGAGGACCACTCAGCAACAGTCTGAGGACGTTAGGAAGGGACACCAAAGCATCACCTAGTTTATAATCACGGTAAAATCTGTGTAAAGATTTCTCACATTATAGGCTCTGGGCTAATTTGTAAGCATTATTTCTGTAATCCTCATGAAACAATATGAGATGGATGTATTATCTTCATCTTATAGATTTAAAAAATTATCTTGCTTTTTATTTGCTAAAACTTGTTAAAATCTTCTTCCTTAACATTTCCTGAGTTTCTCCTACTCCCCACTCTTCCCTACCATTCCTTTAACAGTTCAGTGGTGTTAACTAGGCTTGCTTTCGGAATCGCGAGAGTGGCCTGGGTCTTCCGAGGTTTGCTGAGGGAGCCCTGCAGTACCCCAGAGCAGCAGGCCCTGAGCACTCTGTGCGCGGCCAGGCGCGGTGCTGGAGAGCCACTCCGGCTGGCTGACGTCACTTTAAGTGTTAACATCAGTGGTTCCAAACCTTTCTCTGTACCATCCTAGGTGAGTGAAACCCATTAAGTTCTTTGATCTCAAGAATTGTAAAAGTAGTATAAGTAAACAGATTTTTAAATAAACACCGATTTGAATATTTCTTAAAGCAAGGACAAATGCCCAAAAGGAAAGCAACCATGTGCTGTGGACCAGGTCTGTAAGGAGGGCTCCCAGGGACAGAGGGCACTGGCTCTGCTCCCTGCTGCCAAGTTGACTTCTGTCACAACAGCTGCAGAGAATGTGAAGAAGGTACTGACATAATCAGAATCATCATCAACCAGCTGCCTGGGGCCACATACTAAGTGCCAAGCAGGCTTTAATTAAATCCCAAGCAAGGTGGCTGAAGACCAGGCTCTCTGATCACTGTGATTCAGATTCTGCAAGGAAGCCGGTGGGAAGGGGAAGAGGCCCAGGCCTGCTCTGGTGGTGGCTGTAGCAGGAGTGTGAGGTGGGGCTGGAAGGAGAACTGTGACCCTAGGTGTGCAGATCAGACCTAAGGTAACTGTGTTCCTGTCTCTTCCACAGACTACGAGGGAAGTCCTTGAAGACTGTGCCCAGGAGCACGCTGGGTGTTACATCCTACTAGTGGACTCAATATTATCAATGAGCTGGATAAAGGGTAAAGGTCACCTTGCAATTCTGACACTTGTTGATTCACATTTAACAAAGTTGGTTAAAAACGAAATATATTTAGGTAAAATTATGTGCAAAACTAAGTGGTATTTATAGAAAGTACAAGTATTCTGGGTTACACATGCAAATTAAGCTGGCTGTGATAGTAGTAAGCTAAACATTACAGTTCAGACAAGAACATCTAAAACAATCTCCTTAAATGAGTCTGACAGTACCTAGGTTCTGATACACACACAATAAAGCAAAGAAAGGAAGTCCTGCAAAAGCACACATGCACAAGGCGTAAAGTAGTTGGGAAAAGCAATGGCAGGCGCACAATCAACTCGGGCTGTGGGCCTCAGGCAAGGACATTCCCTGGCGTACCACTGTGAAACAGTTCAGCATTATTATCCTTTCTAGTCAACCTGTGAGTGATTTTTAATTTTACATTTTGTTAATTCTCCTGCCTACAAGAGATATGTGGCTGAATCCTCAACCACACAACTCTTTGCTCTCCAAATTGACCTTTACATCTCTACTCCAAGAATGAACCCAAAGGATTTATCACTCTTTTTCATAAAGTAAAATTTGAACATGCAGACACATAGGTATTTGTGATTCATTTGAACAAGAGAATTGTATTTACTTTCTTTCAGAAAACAAATTAAGGAATACAATGAACATTAATGATAATTTAAATAATTCAGTCAGAGAAACATGCTAACAAAAGTCATGTATGTGTTTGTTTCAGGAAGATCATGAACTAAATTGCACACACTCCACAGAACTCACAAATGTGTAGGTGTTGTGCCCACTGGCATAGCCACGCCTTCTCGTGTGTCTGGGGGCACCATGATTATTCTCCTATTTCTCCCCACAGGTAAATATAGCCCACGTATTATGGGTTCCTCTTTGTCTACTGCCTCAATTAGATGTCCTGTAATGTTTATTGAATGAACATAAGATCTGCTATTAAGTAAGGGAAATTCCTACATGATTTTTCAGAAATAAATTCCTATATGCTTTCAGTTGAGATTAGAGAATTTACACACACTTTCAAGGAAGATGTAATAGAATCATGATTCTCATTTCATGTGCATAATTCCTAAATCCTTCTTCATTTTTGACTGATTACACTGTTCTGAAATAACCAGAAACATGAGCAATTATGATAATAAACAAATTATCCACACATTAAATTTTTCCTCAAATATTTTCCCATTTCTTGACATTATCTATGTTAATATAAGAATCAAGGACATACCTCAGCCCAGAATTCTGCATATATATCATTTGCTGTCAATTTTGTAACTGGCCACAGTTTTGTCACAGAGCAAAGATCACAGGCAGTCATCATCAAACCAATAACACGGTCTCTAGAACACAATACAACACTGGTCAGCACAGCACTGGCACATTTGTAGTAAGGACCAGAGAGACTTGTGCATTTACAGCAGAGGGGTATTCTTCATGATAGGAGAAAAGTAGCATTAAAAAGCAGACACAAGGAACAAGCAGGACAGTCAAATGGCACTGAGGAACAGTGTCTTGAATGGTGAGAACAATCATTCCTATCCCTAGTTCCATGAGGTATGCACTGTACCTTCCTGTTGCCTCAACATTACTGATGAAACCATATGTCACATGAGCTATGCTCATTTCTCTTCCCATTCCTTGGGACACTCACATGGCTACACACCATGTTTCATGTTCATGGAAGTTTGGAAATTTAGCATGGTTAGAAACCTTGAGAGAGAATCTCTCCCAACACTTGGATTTGCACAAAGAAAGTCTGGTAGGCACAGAAGTGGTGATGGGCAGCTCAGGACAAGGCCAGAAAGGACCCGAGGTGCAGGACTCTCTCTGACTACATGTGGAGAGTGATGGGTCACCTGCTCTTGAGCTTTGCTTTCTGCTTTTCAAGTGTCCCTCCCAATGTCTCCCCTCTCACATCAAATGAGCTTTCCTCTCAGCTGCTTGGCATTCACACCCATGTGCTCCACACCTGCCTTTCTAATTCTCTAAAAATGGCTCATCGTTTCCTTTGAAGAAAAATGATTGAGTAAAAATTCAAACAGATATATTCCCTATAATCTAACTAGAACGAAGTCTATACTTAAAAGGAGAACCAAGCAGTAGTTAGTGAATAATTTTAATCTAGTTCTTTTTAACAAAGCAAATTACATAATTTGAAAAAAATATATCATCATCAAAAATAGGAAACTGTAACCAGTGAGATGATGTCATGATTTCCAGTTCACATTGGAGTTCCAATGAGTCTGACACCACTGCTGCCATCTGTGCACACAGTCCTGCCTGGGGCTGCAGCCTGGGGTCAGGAGACAGAGATGTGTCAGGAGCACCTTCTCTCAGGTTGGCAGAGGATTACAACCCAGTTGTGCTCCCTAAAGATAAAATTCCCAGATGCCCGGGAGACTGCTTCTTCCTATCACCCACATCTTTGACACCTATCAATTACAAAGTTTTCTATCAGCCCATTTCCTTTCATCCACTCAACTATCTATCTCTTTTACAACCCTACTTTTTGTAAGGATATATCTCTTATAGTTTAGAAAGTTCATTAGAAGTTATGTATATTCTTCCTGTAACCCACAGATACATCTGAAAATCTATGTCCCTTAATCAGGATCTATAATATTTTCTTAATGGAGTAGTTTATGGCTTAAACGAATATTTTTGTATTTGGCTTCTAAGGAATAAGTATATTATCTATATTATCAGTCACAGCAAGTATATTATCTGTTTTCTCTGCATGTAAATTAATTTAAACAGAAACAGAACACAAAAATTGTTTACAAATAATTATTTCATGTGATTAAAATAATTTAATCTCCTTTTGTTCATATTCACCAAAAAAATCAACATTTCTTTTTCTCTGCTCAATAATATAAGCTTTAATCTTAAAAGAGATTTCTTATTTCATAAATCTGTAAAAAAGTTTAATAGAATTGGGCATTAAAAACATGTAAGTGTTTTTTCCATTGGAAATCACTGCACATGTAAACTTGGCACGATGAGGGTTAGAAAGACTGATACAGTTAAGTGATTTAACAGCAAAACAAAACTTAAAACAGTTAACAGTACTTATTTTATTGTTAACTAAAAAAGAAAAAAAATAGAAAGTTGGCATAAAATGCTTTTAATAAATACACTCTGTTTTTATTTCTGATTACAAATTAGTTAGGTGGTCACTTAATGTGAGCTAGAAACAACGTTCTAGCTCTGCTCATGAAAGGAAGGCAGACCTAACTGCTATGGATGCTGGATTCTTAATGCACTTATTCTGTGCACCATGAAGTACAAGCCCATCACACAGCCTGTGGCTACACTCATTTAATCCAAAAAGTTTTGAATGCCTGCATGTAGCAGACATAGGTATAGCAAAGAACAAAATACTAGAACATTCTAGAGGGGGAAGGTATATAATAAACAGGTTCAGAAATTCATGCAGCAACTAGTGCTGTGTAAAAGTGAAAATGAAAAAGGTTAAAAAACAGAAAAAAGAAAAAGGCCACCACTGGAAGACCTGAGACCTGAGAGAGGACTCCATCAGAGCGGAGAGTTCAGGAAGACCACGGGAATCGGGCCTGGCCTGCTGGGGGAAAACAGCAGGGAAAAAGAAAGGTGGGAACGAGGTGAGGCTCCTCCCATCCACTGAGGTCTGAGAAAGTGGCCAGAGCTCGGCTAGCGATTTACTTTTGTTCCAAGTTTTATGATGAGACACTGGAGGCTTTTCCAGGGGCAAGACAGCACATGCCATAGACGGCAGCTCAGGTCCTCTGGGGGAAGAGGGACTCAGAACTGTGAGGGCAGGGCAGACCCGAGGCCACCAGGAGAACACTAGGGCAGTTCTCACCAGAGTCCCATTCTGCAGCATGTCCTCAGGGACACAAGGGCAGACCAGAGTGGGAGGACGGAGACCTTGGAGGCAAAGCCATGTGGAGCTGTGTTAATATCCACAGAAGCTAAAATTCTTTCCCTTCCTTCCCACCCCCACCACATGTTACCCTGGACCTGGTGGAGTTAACGGAGAACCCAGGTTCTCCGACATGTGGACATTCTGGTCTAGAAGCCGCAGTGTGCAGAGCTGCCTTCTGTGTGCCAGCACACTTTAAAATGCTCCATCAGAAGGTCTCAGAACTCTCCAGAAGGGAGGAAAAGAAGCCACAGAGGCTGTGGGCCTTCGGATGAACCACTATGGGCAGGAAGGAAGCTCCCCACCCTCCCCACACATGTGAAGAGGTACTTGGCCAAGGACAAGATCCACATCTCACGGGAGAACAGTGGAAAAGGGGAGCAACAAAGGAGGAGACACCTACTGACTTTACAGAGGATTTCAGGTAGAGGCACAAGGGTAAGTAAGACTGTGTTCTTGTGTGACTGTAACAACAGTTGCTCATCTGTGTGAATATTCAGAATTCAAAAGAACGGAGTGGCTGGCACTGTTTTCGCTATAAGGTAAGTGCTTTTAAAAAGGTCTCTGGGCACTAGGTGTCTTGTGGCCATCACAGAGCCCTCTGAGGTGTCCCAGCCTCCTCAATGCCAACTGACACGTTACAACAGGAAAAAATAAGAAATGCAGCCCAGGTGTAAAGCAGTGACTTCACACCAGGTATGGCAGCTTGGGTCCTAACCTGAAGCAGATGTCACACTCCGGAGAATCCAGAGGGGCTACAGGAAGGGACCATCCACAAACATGTTGGCTGGCTGGGTTAAGGAAACAGGGAAGTGGGAAAGACTGAGGGGTCAATAACAGAGCGGAGGTCCCACTTCTGAAGAGACGAGGACAGGAGCAGGTGCCAGACCCAACCTGGGCCTGGTTTGTAAGAGATTCTAGCCCCTAGCTCTGCTGCACCGCAGGCCAACAGAGTCGAGGCCAGGGGAGGAGACACAACTTTCCACCTCCAGCCCTCCTGTCTCCTCACTGCCACCCACAGTTGAGCTACCCAGCACACACTTGAAATTGCAACTATTTAAATATGAAACTACATTACTTATTTATATATCAATATGGCACAGAAATACAAAAATGTTTTTTATATTTCTTTTATTTTTAGTCGTAGATGAACACGATACCTTTATTTTTTTTATTTATTTTATGTGGTGTTGAGGATCAAACCCAGTGCCTCAGATGTGCTAGGCAAGCACTCTACCACTGAACCACAGAAAACCCCAGCCCAGAAAATATTGTTTTTAAGCCAGAATTTTTACTTATCTAAGAAAACTCTTGCCATTAGATCTTCAGACTCAGCTTAAAGTGTCTGGGTAGCACAACCAAAACTATTACAAAAAATAGGGGGAAAAGAAATTTTAAAAAAGCATGTCCTGCTTGTTTATCTTGGAATGCTCACATACAACTGATCAAAGACCGAATTTCTTTCTTTCTTTTTAACCACTTGGATATTTGATGTCAGTATTGACATTTAATTGACAAATTCTCTAACTTAATATTGATTCCGTGAAATTTATTTTTTTATTACCATACTCAAAAGCTTACTGCTATGTAAGGTGTCCTAAGGACAGCTGGAGTAGGCCAGAAAGGGGGCTCCAGGTGCCGCAGTCTGGCTGGGCACAAATGCCGCAGTCTGGCTGGGCACACAATCACGAGCCACCACACAGCTTGTAGATTCAAACAGCAACTCTTTATTCCCGAACTCACACCAGCCGTCTACAATCACGTTCTGGGGAAATCCACGTTCTCTGCCCAAATCCACGTTCTCTGGGCTTCTATCTCTCAAAAAATACTCTGAATCCCGTGAGAACTCAAGGGGAACTCAGGCAGCAGGATATGCCCTATTCCCAGCAGGAATAATCTTAAACCTTAAACCTGGAACCTAAACCGGGAACGCCCTAATCCGCCTTGGTCCTTGAGCAAGGTCACCTACATTCAATGTCACTGCAACATGGGGTACGCTGGCAAGGAAATTGTCATACCTACTTGGCTAATGGCTCCCAGCATCCAGGGACTCAGCAAACACCTGTCTCCTGGGGGTGCAGCTGGGACATTTTCTTAAGGAAATGTCATCTACCCTCATTTTAATTCCTCTGTTTTCTTTTAGAATAGTGATATGTAATATTTGAGAAGAAACAAGGTTAACACCTTTCTCCCTTCAGTTATTATTTTAATGATTCTTCATTTTGTTTGTGTAAATCTATCTTTGAGGAATTTTAAATCACCAAATTGAGAAATTTAAATCATGTTTGCAATAACTATGACACATTGTGTCCTTACTAATTTAGTAAGTATTAATTAGACTGAGGATAAAGCGGTTTCTCTGAAAACATTGTGAAGAACTACAGAATCAAAATCAGAGGAAGACTTTAGAATCTGTTTCCAATGACATGAACAATAACT